AGTTTTGTTCCACATTGTTCTCCCATCTATCCAGGATCTCCTACATAGATCCCCCTCCAAGTGATTGACAGTGGTAGCCGGGCACCATCTAGTTCTTCTGGTCTCCTAGTCATATAGACTGAGGATCACATGGCGTATCAGTTGCTTGGATTAATTGTTTCCATGCATTTTTGGTTTTCTTCATTCTTCTTTGCTCTGGACAAGGAAAGACCCATTGTTGCATCTAGATGGCTGCTTGCAGGCTTTTAAGATCCCAGTTGCTATTCACCAAAGTAGGATGTGGAACAATGTTTTTGTGTAGTATGTTAGGCCAATTGAGCTTGATGTCCCCTGTGACCATGGCCACCTGAAAAGCCTCTTTGGTGAAGTGTTTATTCATGTCTTCTGTGCTTGCCAATATATTAAAGGCAGCATTTAAAATTGTTAATTGCAGGTCATAGAAATCAAGCTAATTGTATATTAGGGTGAGGGATTTGGGGAGATCCTTAAAATTATCAAATGCTGGGATATCATAATTTCATTCATTCTAGAACCACCAGCCTTCTGGGTAGTGCCTTAGGTACTACCCCACCAGAGCTCCCATTCTCTTTATCAGGTTTTAAAAATCTATATATTTCTGAGGTATTGGTTATTTTGTTAAATCCTAGATATTTTTAGTATATATTATGATACCATGAAGGCACAGAAATCTGTCTGATCCAGGGCATGTGGCCTTTCAGCACATGAGAGATCCTAAACCAGTGTAAGGTGCATTTCATTTCATTGAAAACTTACCATTAATGAGATCAACATAACCATTGCTCACTATAGCTACTGGTGAAAGTCTTCGTGTTTCTGAGTCAGAATCTAGGCTTTCGATAACCATCATTGCATATTCCATCCCAAAACACCGATAGCTCTGCCACTCTGGAATGTATTTACAGGTTGCATCTCTAATAATTCCTAGAAACATATGTGTATATATTTCAGCAATGAAAAGGAATCTTTTTTCATAAGTATCCACATATCAATTTATTCTTTTATAGAGGATTAATAAGTAGGAAATTGAAGTTATTAATAATGAAAGTACCTCCATCATTAATAATAAAAGATATCCTTTTTTTAAAAAATTGTGATTTGGGTGAAAGTTTACAGAGCAAATTGGTTTTCCATTCTACCCCTCATACACGTTTGTTTAGTGACATTGATTGCAATCCCCACAATGTAACAACGCTCTTCCCACTTCCTCCCTGTGTTTACCATTTTTCATCCTTTCCTATCTGTCCCTGCCTTCTGAGCTTTATCCCTAGGCAAATGCTGCCCCTTTGATCTTGTATAGTTGATTGTTCTAATGACAGTGTACCTTCCTGGTGTTAATGTTTACCTTACAGGCCTATCATTTGACTGAAAATTGAGCCAGGGGATGAGTTCAGTTCCAGGCTTGAAAAATGTCTATGGGTCAAAGTCATGATGATTCCACCAGTCTCTATAAGACCAGTAAACCTGGCCTTTTTAAGATTTTGAGTTTTGTTCTAGATTTTTTTCCCACTCTATCCAGAACCTCCTATTGTGATTACTTTCAGAGTGGTCAGCTGTGGTAGAAAAATAAAAATATACTTTGTTCAACAAAGTTGAGAGCTAAAACAAAAGAAGATCTAACAAACCTTTATAAGGTGCTTTCTCAGTAACAGGAATTCTACTTCCATTAGGGAATGTGAGCATGACCTTAGGAATTCTGTAATCTCCAATTCCAAGTTGGCTGTTTCCACTCCATTCATATTCTGCCTGAGGAATCACTGAACCAGAACTCCCCAGAAAAGAGCCATCCATGTCTCTAAGAAAAGATTTTCTTTTGGCATCACAAACCATGTCTACACAGTCAGATGGATTCACCTTACTGTGGAGAAAAAAAAAAAAAGAATAAATATGTAGATTTAGTATTCCTCCCTTGCTCTTAGAGATAAATTTTAATAGATTGGAATATTTGAAAACAAAGTAACAAAAAAAGTTTACTGATTGAATCTTGTCATTCCAGAAAAAGATTCAAAGTGGGACCAAGTAGCATATTATAATTATTATTGTAATGAGCTCTATTTTTCCATTGTGTGGATTTAGTCTATTATTATGAATTCATTAGCATTTCAAAGGACATGTTATACCTTTAGACTATAAAATTAGAATTCCACTTTGATAATCTGTATTTTGTTGAAGGGTAGATTTCACTTTTGGGTATTACTCACAATATGCTGATATTGTCCTATAGAGCATGTAAATGAGTACTTCTCTCTACAGCACATACAAAATGCCTACTTTGGCAGGAAAATCTTCATTATCATTTCCTTCTTTCTCTTTTTTATAGGTTTTTTAAACGATAAAAGTATTGTATGCTTACTGAAACATAATGTAAATATTTAGTAAAAGTTCAGTCCTGTTTTCTTTCCTATCCCAAGCTCCTAGGCACCTTAATGGTTTGTAATTACACATTAATATATGTTATCAACATGAGAAGAAATAATTGCAAACATCCATTAATAATAAAATGTAGAAAGTATGAAGTAAGAATCTAGGAAAATTGGAAGTTGTCAAAAATAAATTGCAACACACTAAAATTGATATCCTAGGCATTCATGAGCTGAAATGGACTGGTATTGGCCATTTTGAATAGGATGACTTTGGGGTCTACTATCCTGGGAATGATACATTGAAGAGCAATAGGGTCACATGCATCGCCAAAAAGAGTATTTTTTAAGATCTATCCTGAAGTACAATGCTGCCAGTGATAGCATAATATCCATATGCCTACAAGGAAGACCAGTTAATACTACTATTATTCAAATTTATGCATCAACCACTAAAGCCAAAAATGAAGAAATTGAAAATTTTTACTAATTGCAGTCTAAAATTGACCAAACATGTAATCACAGTGTACTGATAATTATTAGTGATTGGAATGTGAAAACTGGAAACAAAGAAGCATTGGTAGTTGTAAAATATGGCCTTGGTGACAGAAGTAACACTGGAGACTGCATGGCAGAATTTTGCATGACCAACAATTTATTCATTGCAAATAACTTTCTTCAATAACATCAATAAAGGGTGACTCCACATGTGTATGTCACCAAATGGAATATACAGAAATCAAATTGTCTATATCTGTGGAAGGAGATGGTGGAGAAGTTCACTACCATCAGTCAAAACAAGGCCAGGGGTCATCTGTAGAACAGAACAGACCATCAATTGCTCCTATGCAAGTTCAAGTGGACTCTGAAAAAAATGAAAACAAATCCACAAGAGCCAAAATACAACCTTGAATATAACCCACCTGAATTTACAGATCATTTAAAGGATAGATTTGATGCATTAAGCACCAATGATGAAAGACCAGACAAGTTGTGGGATGGCATCAATGAAATCATACATGAAGAAAGCAAAAGGTCATTAAAAAGACCAGAAAGAAAGAAAAGACCAAAATGGATATCAGAAGAGAATCTGAAACTTGCTCTTGGATGGAGAGCAGCTAAAGTGAATGGAAGAAATAAATGATGAAGTAAAAAAGCTAAATAGAAGATTTTAAAGGGTGTCTCAAAAAGACAAAGTATAATGAAATGTACAAAGACCTGGAGTTAGAATATCAAGAGAAAGATTCTTGGCATTTCTCAAGCTGAAAGAACTAAAGGGAAAAACAACAACAAACAAACCACTAAGCCTCCAGTTGCTTCAATATTGAAGGATTCTGTGGGCAAAATTTTGAATGATGCACCACGACACAGAACAACTAAACAATATAATCCAACAACTTGACCTTATATACATCTACAGACCACTTCACCCAATAATAGCACAATATACATTATTTTCCAGTGCACATGGAACATTCTCCATGATAGACCATATGTTAGGCCATAAAACAAGCCTCAATAAATTTAAAAACATTATACGGCAAAGCATCTTCTCAGATCACAATACTATAAAATTAGAAATCAATAATAGGAAGCTCAATAGAAAAAGACCAAACACATGGAGTCTGAACAACACCCTCCTTAAGAAAGACTGGGTAAAAGAAGAAATAAAAAATGAAATGCAAAAATTCCTTGAATGAAATGAGAATGACAACACAACATACCAAAATCTTTGGGACACAGCATAAGCAATGATCAGAGGCCAATTTACAGCACATATCAAAAAAGAAGAGTGAGCCAAAATCAACACTTTAAACCAGCATCTCCAACGATTAGAAAAAGAACAGCAAGAAAAAACCTACAGTCACCAGAAGAAAGGAAATAAGATTCATGCAGAAATCAATGAAACAGAAAATAGACAATAAAAAAGGTCAACAAGACTACAAGTTGGTTTTTTGAAAAGATTAATAAAATTGACAAACCACTGATAAATTTAATGAAGGAAAAGAGAGAGATAATACAAATAACCCAAATAACAAACAAAATGGGAGCATCACAACAGAACCAATGGAAATGAAAAGGATACTATGAAGAACTGTACTCCAACAAATTTGACAACAGAAGAAATGGACAGATTTCTAGAAATACACCACTTACCTAAACTGACACAGACTGAGGTGGAAAAGTTGAACAGATAACAAAAGAAGAAATTGAACAGGTCATCAAAAAATTACCAACAAAAAAAAGTCCTTACCCAGATGGTTTCACCAGAGAATTCTACCAAACATTCAAAGAAGAACTGACATCAATCCTACTCAAACTATTTCAAAACATAGAAAAGGACAGACTCCTCCCAAATTCATTTTATAACACAAGTATAACCTTGATACCAAAACCAGACAAAGACATCACTCAAAAAGAAACCTACAGAGGCGGGGCAAGATGGCGGACTAGGCAGAAGGATTGCACAGACCCTCTTCAACAAAGAAAAGGGAAACCAATTAATACAGACACAGAAGATAAT